TGCACAACCAAGGATGCCTTAAAGAGGATCACTCATGGGACCTGGCATCACAGGTTAGTGGACTTTCTTCTTTGCCACTGCACCACACCTTGCACAGCTACTGGAAAGAGCCCAGCTGAACTCCGCTGGGGTTGCCGCCTCATCACAAAACTGGACAGATTGCACCCGGACTGGGTGGCTTCACAGGTGTCACAGCCGCGGGCATCTAGGAGACTACAAGTGGGAGATCCGGTCTGGGCAAGGAACTATGGACCAGGACATCTCTGGGTCACAGCAGTGGTATGCAAGGTCTCTGGGCCGCTGTCATACAAAGTGGCCTTGGATGATGGTTGTGTGATCTGACGTCACATTGACCAACTGCTCTGGAGGCTTCCCAGCAACTCTTCTGTTCCTAGCTCTGCTCTCCGGGGGGAGGAGGACCACAATTATGATTGTGGACCACGGTCTCTCCAACATCCCCAGGCTTCAGCTATTGCTCCAAACAGGGAGTCTGCAGAAAGGGGGTTTGCCATGGAGGCAGCTCTGGCCTCTGGCACTCAGCCACTCCAGCTGCTGGTCTAGGGTTCAGGGGACAGTGCTCCCAAGAGGAGTCCATTGGGGACTTGGGGAATTCAACCCCACCACTGGACTTGGGGAATTCCACCCCCCTAAGGAACCCTGGCTTGGATTTAGCAGATCCAGCCAATCAGCAGCTGGGTGGGTCCCCTGGGTCTTTGGGGCAACAAAGTCCTGGTCTGCCTAGCCTGGCAGGTGAGCTGGCAGGCCAGGCACACATACTGACCATGAGAAGATCAGGGCGGGCCAGAAGTCCTCCCAAATACTTACAAGACTATGTATGGTCCTTGTCAGTTCATGGGCAGGCCTGGTAGTCTGGGTTAAGTAATGCAGCTCAAGGGGAGTTGGGAGCATGGCGATAGCAAGACTGTAGTGTTGTGTATATATAGATGCAATGTAAGCAATGTAATGGAGTGTTGGAGTATTTAAAATAATAAGTGTGCCTTATTATTTTAGCCAAGGGGGGAGGGGTGTTATGTCCTGGGCCAGCAGGCATAGGCTGCAGCGATTGGCCCGGGCAGACCATGTGGATGCCAGCCTTTGCAATGATTGGCCAGCAAGGTATTGTGCAGGGGGGCTATAAAAGGGGGCCGTACCATTTTAAAACCTGTTCTGTTGGTGTTGCAATAAAGGAGACTGTTGGAACTCGTTGCTTCGTCTCAATGCCTCTTTTCCTGAAACAGAACAAGAAGCAAAAGTTCTTCTTCTTCAAAGAAAAAAACCAGTCCAGTTGCCTTTTCAAAAAGCAACTTTGAGACAACTATGACCTGGATGACTGAGAATCTCCACAAACATTTTAATGAAACCCCTCCATGTGCATAATATTATTTACCCCTTCCTACTATTAGTCATATTATCTTTGGGATATGGTCAGTGAACAGAAACAATTTGGTTTTCTGGGCCACAGTTTCCTGACTGAGCCTTGTCCCTGTCACCACCCTGGGTCAGTCCAGCTTGTTGTGAATGTTTTCTTACAAGGCACTTTCCACAGTTCATATATATTGGGGGCATCTCAGACATTTTTTAAGGAATGCAACCATTTTACTACCACAATATGTGAAAGTTTAGGAGCCTAATATTTGACTCTGTATGTGGGTTTGTGTGTGAGATTGATTGATTGATTGGATTGGATTGATTGATTTAGAGAAAATATATGGCCACAGATTTCATATATATAGTATAACTCTGTCCTCCATACCCAAGAGCAAGCAGAATAACTCCATGGCATCTGATAAACATGTTTGCTCCAGAATTTCTACTAATAAAATTACCATCTCTCCAGTTATCACAAACATGATGATTAAGTCACCAGGTCAGTCCTCCAATGGCTCTCAAGATGCTTTTGAAGGAACTATCAGGGACAAATCCCAGAACACACATATATTTTCTAATATATTGTTCCTCAAAACTGAAGTGCTCCCAAGCCACAACAGGGTCAATATGAGAACTGCTGCCATAAATTTGGGTTCTCGGAATTTGGTTGAGCCAATTTAGACTGTTGGCTCAACCAAAACCAAGTCAGTTCCAAAGTGGACAGATTTTCCCAGATTTCTCTATGTGAAACTACCTATGTTACTCCACACATGTGAAATATAAACTGATCACCATCTTGGAGTAATTCTACAAGACCATTGACATTCTGTTTCACAGAATTTCACAGCTGGTGCTCTTTTAAATTGCAAATGAAAAAAAAAAAGAGCCTAATAATTAGGCAGTAGTCTCAAAGGGCAACTCTGCCCTTTACACCTCAAGCATCCAGACATAAGTGAGGCTGAAGAAACTGGATCAGATCAATGAATGTGGCATGCGGTATTCTTAAGACAGATCTCAACAAAGGTAGCAGTTGTTTCACTATCTATAGTATCGTGTTTAAATCAAGACTGCTGGCAACAGCAATACAGGAGAAGCCAAATGAGCAGGAATGTTGGGTATTATTGCCTTATTACTATTTCCAGAACTAGCCATGAAGGTACAACCTCTTAAGTGCACTGGAGATGAAGCCATTCAAATTCCACAGGAATGGCACCAGGACGGAGACCTTCTCATTGGTGCATTGATGTCTCATCTTCACTACATATTCCCCAAAGTTATTTTTGATAAACATCCTTCTGAAGAATTGGTTGACTTCCCATTGTAAGAAATCACTCTCTTAGCTTATTTTAATCTAATCCTTCCCTATTCTTTCCATCTCTGTAAAACAAAAAGGTTCCATCATCCTCTATTAATGAATATAAATGTATGATGGACATATCCTTAATAGCAGCTTGGTAATTAGAAATTATTTGTTAATTCAACATCTAATTTTCTAATTAAACCAAAAGCCAATAGACCAGGACAAGCAGATATATTGTTGAGAACTGAAACCTTTTCCAACTTGGATGTAAAAGAACCAGCCCTAATTCACCATAACATAAAAGGTACTATAATACTTTAAATATGGACATTGACTGTGGAATAAAAAGTCATTTCCAAAACCTTGGGATGGCACTCGTTATTAATACCATGTCTCTATTTTTTCATGTATTAATTAGATGTTAGTGGTCCACCTGTCCTATTTCAAAAGATTGTACAGGTATTATTTTCATTATAAAGATGAATATTTTAACAGAATAACAGAATCACAGAGTTGGAAAGGACATTGAAGGTCATCTAGTCCAGCTCCCTGATCAGGCAGAAACTCCTTTTTCTGCCATTATAGAATTAATGAAGATTTATAAAGACCAAAACTTGCATGGAAAGTTTAACATGAATATAGTCTCTCCAGGAAAAATGGGATTTCTTCCATAGATCTCTTCTAGATGACAACTATTCACATATTTCTGGAATATTATCCTGTCTTCCTTCTCTAAAGTTTTTCATTGTTCCTCCAAATATTCCAAGAGAATGCAACTATGTCCTTTAAAATTTCTGGGTATATAAGTTATCCATTGCAACCTTTCTGGGTTATCAATTTAAATATCTGTTAAAGGATACAATTAAACAAAAGACTTAATATAGGAGATGAACCTTGAATAATAAAACTGTGAATTTCAGCATATTTCTCTTCTCAATGTGTGTTTCTCATAATATTTTTGACATTGGTTATCTCTTTCTAACTATATAATGCATGGCGCAGTTCTCTTTTGAAGCAAGTTACTTTTTTTACAGTGTAATAACCAAGTTCTACCAACATGTCTTGGCTTTTGTGTTTGCCATGAAAGAGATCAACAAGGATCCTCACATCTTGCCCAACTTCACTCTTGGATTCCACATCTATGACAGCTACTCCAATGCACTAATGACCTATCGTACCACTCTGGACCTGCTTTTTAAGTTGCATAAAATTGTCCCCAACTATATCTGTGGGTCTGAAAAGAAAGTGATGGGAATCATTGGAGGGATGAGTCCTGAAACATCCATACGCATGGCAGAAATTTTGCAGCTTTTCAAGATCCCGCAGGTGGACCCATAAATAAAGATCTCAAAATTACAACAATCACACAGATGGTCTGCTCCTGATTTCACTTTCAAGAAGCAATTTGATGGTTTATCAGTAAAGTGATGTAAAGAAATTAGGATAAAGAGAAATAAAGAAATTAGAGTAATGTGTGGACTTAATCCAAGTTTCTCTTCCAATAAGATGAATCAAAACATACAGAATTTTATGCATGCATATTTGTTTGAACCTGGAGGCTTATGCTAGCTGTCATTAATTGCCTTATTGGTGTCAATTCATATATTTTAAGCATAATGTGCACAAACATCTGGATTTTATAAAATGTGGAGGATAATACGCGGAAGAAATATTGACCTAGGAAGAACTAAAGATTTGATTCCTTAAATTCAAATACTTACGTTATCTTCAAGAAGAAGACTTAAGATGATGATGGTGATGATAGATAGATAGATAGATAGATAGATAGATAGATAGATAGATAGATAGATAGATAGATAGATAGATAGATAGACAGACAGACAGACAGACAGACAGACAGACAGACAGACAGACAGACAGACAGACAGGCATATACTATTCAGAATGGATATCTCCCTTTAGAGCAGTGGTTCTCAACCTTTCTAATGCCGCGACCCCATAATACAGTTCCCCATGTTGTGGTGACCCCCAACCACTTATACATCACCGGGTGCCAGGGGCATGGCCAAAGAAAAGGGGGAAAAAATGGTGGACAGACTTGTTTGGCGACCCCCGTGAAATGGTCGTTCGACCCCAAATGGGGTCCCGACCCACAGGTTGAGAACCACTGCTTTAGAGAGATCTCTATATATTAAACAACCATATTTTGAAAAATAAAGTGTTTTAAATCAATAAAAACAGAAAATATCCATCAATGCTTTCTCTTTATCATTCTCTTTTTTTCTTATTCCTTTTTTCTTCCTTTTAGATTTCATATGGCTCATTTCAATTGCTAGCAACTGATGAATCACGTTTCCCTCCTTTTTATCGCATGGCCCCTGATGAAGCTCTCCAGTACAAGGGTTTAGTCAAACTCCTTCTGTATTTAGGATGGAACTGGATAGGACTTGTCATTGTGGATGATAAACATGGAGAACATTTCATACGAACTCTGGAACCCATGCTCTCGCAAAATAAAATCTGCTCCGAATTCACCGAAAGGATTGACAGAAATTTACAATCTTCCGAAGTATTTGACTTAGTTGAACAATGTTTGAAGCATATTACTTTGTTCACAGAGAAAACAGCAAATGCAGTTATTATACATGGAGAAAATACAGTCTTTATGTGGCTGGCTACTACTCTACAAGGCATCCGTTTTTATTTCCCAATGGTTTTTGATTCTTCACAGATAATGTCCACACAAAAAGTGTGGATCACAATGGCTCAAAATGATTTCACATTACATTCCTTACAAAGAGCTGTTGATATGCAAATGTTCCATGGGGCCATTTCCTTCTCAATTAGCACAAAGGAACTTCCAGGTTTCGAACCATTTATACAGGTTGTCACCCCTTCTGGGGCAAATCAAGATGGCTTTATTAGAAATTTCTGGACCCAAACATTTGGCTGCTCGCCATCAAATAATGGTGTTTCTCAAGATGAGGAATGTAGTGGAAAGGAAAGACTGGAGAACCTTCTTGCACCCTTTTTTGAAACCAGCATACTTGGCCATAGTTACAGTATCTACAATGCTGTCTATGCTGTGGCTCAAGCATTACATTCTGCTCAAACGGTGAGGACTGATCAAAACATACAAAGGGGCAGGGATCAAGTGCAATCAAAGATTGTAGAAGCCTGGCAGGTAAGATTTTGTCTTCCTCAGGGCTCTCTTTAAATGTTCTCCTTGGTTACAACAGAGTGCCAGCACTAAAAGAGTCAAATGATCATTGTAGGTCAGCTATTTAAGGATCACAGACATTCATCTTCCTTCAAGATTAATACATTACGAATATGTACGGTAGGTGGGTATTGTCTTTTGCCTACATATCTCAGTTTTTTCCTCCTTTCATACCAACAAAACTGATCTTTAACATACTCCTGCCTTTCTATTTCTCTGCAATACATTTTCTTCCCATAGCTTCTTCTTGCTCTTTTTCAACTACCTTTCTCAATTGTCACTGAAGAAAATCAACATGTACCAAAAGAGTTTTGTCTGGAAGGTGTAACAACCAGTCTGTTTCAGTCTTCTATACTTCTTCATTCCAGGGGAAGAAAGATTCCAAACTTAAAAAGTGGTATTGTTTGAGGCAATTTAAGGGCTTATCTGTTTTTCTTTAATCCTTATACTTTTTCTTAATGGGTCAACCGATCATTGTAGATCAGCTATCTAAGCATATTTATCTTCCTTCAAGATTAATACATTACAAATATTGACCCACTGAATGCGTTGTCTTTTGCCTACACATCTCAGCTTTTTCCTCCTTTAACATCAACAAAGCTGGTCTTTAATATACTTCTGGATTTCTATTTGTCTGCAATAGATTTTCTTCCCATAGTTTCTTCTTGCTCTTTTCCAATTACCTTTCTCAATTGTCACTGAAGAAAATCAACATGTACCAAAAGAGATTTTGTCTGTAAGGTGGACTATGCTCCAATATAACAAATAGACTACTTCAGTCCTCTATACTTCTTTGTTGAGGGGGAAGAAAGATTCCAAACTTAAAAATCTAGGAAGCTTATCTGTTTCTCTTTACCCTTATGCTTTTTCTTCTGCAAGCTCCATTCATTTCTGCAGAGAATTTCCTTCAACAACAATGCTGGAGATGAAATTAAATTCAATAAAGACGGAGCATTGGAAGCTGGATTTGACATTGTAAATTTGGTTACTTTCCCAAACAACTCCTATATCAACATCCCAGTTGGAGAAATAGATCCGCAAGCTCCTCCTGGAGAAATATTTCTTATTCATCAAGATAAAATCCAGTGGCATCATGGATTCACTCAGGTACAATAACAATAATATGGGCATTAAGAGGGAGATAGATGATTTAAAATTAGATATATGATAGATAAGTAGACAAGAGAGAGAGAGAGAGAAAGAGAAAGAAAGAGAGAGAGAGAGAGAGAGAGAGAGTTGAGGTGAGGTGAGGTGAGGTGAGATGAGATGAGATGAGATGAGATGAGATGAGATGAGATGAGATGATTGAGGTAGCAAGAGACACAGATGGATGATACGTAGATAAATGGATAGGTAGGTAGGTAGGTAGGTAGGTAGGTAGGTAGGTAGGTAGGTAGGTAGGTAGATAGATAGATAGATAGATAGATAGATAGATAGATAGATAGATAGATAGATAGATAGATAGATAGACAGACAGACAGACAGACAGACAGACAGACAGACAGACACAGACAGACAGACAGACAGACAGACAGACAGACAGACAGACAGACAGACAGACAGACAGGCAGGCAGGCAGGCAGGCAGGCAGGCAGGCAGGCAGGCAGGCAGGCAGGCAGGCAGGCAGGCAGGCAGGCAGGCAGGCAGGCAGGCAGGCAGGGCAGTTTATAGGTTGCTAAAAATATTTAAAAACAAAAAACAATACAAAGCCACCAAAATAAATCAAAAGAACAGAGATGATTTAGAAAATGCCTTGTATGTAAACAAGAAAAAGAAAGAAAGGTGGTATTGATCATGTTTGCCAAACACCTGAGCAAGCACTATTTCTTCAGAGATCTTTGAAACAGAAATAGGATGGAAGCCATTTGAATTTGGGATGTGCCAGGATCCCTATAAATGGCATTGTTTAATTCATGGGTCCTGAAGTGTGCCAACTCTATGAGATCGATCAGACCAGGCAGATACTATGTGCGACAGGCAGTACATCATGTAAGGCCTTATGTCTTCTTCGGCTATAAAGGGAGTAACCAGTACCTTGAATGGAGAACAATAGGGAAAATAATCCAGGTTTGGATATAAATGTGGGCTTCATTTCATTAATTATCTTCAGCTAAATAAAAAAATAAATCAAATGCAACTTCGGTTATGTTCCAGGCTCTGGCAACCTTTTGGAGGTTAAATTGTCTGTTACATGGCAGGAATGACTGTCAACAGTCTTGTTCTTATTCATTGGCTGTAAGACAAAAACATAAGCAAAATATTAACATTGAATTCTTTATTTGGGGATAGCTACCTCCTCTCTCATTATGTAATGACCCTTGTCCTCTTGGAAAAAGAAAGAACAAGATCGAAGGGCGGAAATTTTGCTGCTACACTTGTGCGCCGTGTCCAGAAAAGATGATATCTAGACAAATGGGTAAGATTCATGGCATCCCAATGGAACCAGGTCTGAAAGCCTGAATCCCAGTTAACAAGAATCTCTTCAACATTATTGCTTGCTGTATTAATGCATCACAAAGGAGGAAAAGGAAAAGATATCAGTGATGTCCTCTACCCTAGCAGTCCCCAATTTTTGCGGTTTGGTGGACATGCAAGGGTGTTGAGGGAGAAGTTCTATGTGAGTGGCAGGCGTGCATGAGCAACTCCATTTGCGCAAGTGGCAGTCATCACTGATGTCTCTTCCTTACCCTTTTCCTCCTTTGCTTACCTGCCACCTATGTGGCCAATGAACAGAAGTTCCAAATGGGCCACGGCCCAGTAGCAGGCCATTGCCAGGAGGTTGGGGATCTCTGCTCTACTCCACCTTTCTATCCTTGAGATTGAATCACATTCAAATGATGGTGCACATCACATAAAGGAAGCAGTAATCAAGTAACTCCTGTTCTCCTATCTTCTTGTGCTACTGCAAGTTTTTCAGGATCTAAAGTATCAAAAATCTCTTTTCTCTTTTCCACTATTTGGCACACGTTTAGAAAGTGGGACATGTCATTGCTCAGAAATGTTATAAAACCTAGTGTACTTGAAAATGCCAAGAACATCTAAGTAGTGTTTCCCTACAGTGCTCATTTTTAAAAGGTTGAAGAGAGGGTTACAAAAGAATTTAGACAACACTTACATTGCAGGTAAATACAGAGAAGCAATTCTGAAACTTTTGAAACACTTTCCTTCTTTTCAGACATGGAGAATTGTGACAATTGTCCAAAGTATCAATTTCCAAATGAAGCTCATGATGAGTGCATTCCAAAGACAATTAATTTCCTCTCCTTTGAAGAACCACTGGGCATTACTCTGGTTTCTCTGACTCTTCTCTTTTCCCTAGTTACAGCTTTAGTGTTTATAATCTTCATCAAGCAACGGGATACTCCCATTGTCAAAGCCAACAATCGCAACCTCACCTATATTCTACTTATCTCCCTCTTTCTCTGTTTCCTCTGCTCACTTCTGTTCATTGGACAGCCCAATAAGGTGACCTGCCTCCTCCGACAAACAACATTCGGTATCATCTTCTCTATTGCAATCTCTTCTATATTGGCCAAAACCATCACAGTTGTTGTAGCGTTCCTAGCATCAAAGCCAGGAAGCCTATTCCACAAATGGGTGGGGCAAAAGTTGGCCTATTCTATTATCTGTTTCTGTTCCTTCATTCAAGTTGGTATTTGTGCCATTTGGCTTGGTACTTCTCCCCCATTTCCAGATTTGGACATGGAGACACTCTATGGAGAAATCATCACAGAATGTCATGAAGGCTCCATCACCATGTTTTACTGTGTTTTGAGCTACATGGGCCTGTTGGCTCTTCTCAGCTTCACTGTGGCCTTCCTAGCCAGGAAGTTGCCAGATAGTTTTAATGAAGCCAAGTTCATCACTTTCAGCATGCTGGTTTTCTGCAATGTTTGGCTGACCTTTGTCCCCAGCTACCTGAGCACCAAAGGGAAATACGTGGTGGCTGTGGAGATCTTCTCTATCCTGTCTTCCAGTGCTGGCTTACTGGGATGCATCTTTATCCCCAAAATCTATATCATTATACTGAGGCCTGAGCTCAACACTAGAGAGTATTTAACATATAAGAAATAGAAAAAAGAACAAAATCTAATTTGTACAAGCAAATACTAATTGGATATGTACAGTATTACCTCTCTCATATAGGAGTAATCTGACAGGGCCACTTTGAATTTTTCTCTCCACACTCAATTAATAGAAAAGTAAATCTGTTAGGAAACATATTATCCATGTAGCTAATAAAGTCTGAATAAATTTGACTTTCTTTCACCATGGATGGTGATGGTTATTTGGGGAGAGGAGTACTTTAATCTTTTTTCAGGGAAGCAATTTTCTGTATGATTTAGTTGTTCTTTTGGGGTTTTCAATGTTTTATATATCAATTCTATGAGTAAGAAAAGAACTGGGTCATTATCAAGATCAACATTAGAAAGAATAGACTATGAACAAACCTCAAGATTCATTAGATTCTTGAGTGATTTTTCTGTCTTCTATAAAACCATTGACTAATTGGATTTTGTCACCAAAGCTGATAATACATTCACTACTGAACTCTTTGCTTGACCCCTAACTCAATACATAAATCTTGCCAGCTGTATATTACTTTTGAGGAATTATGTTAATGGACAGTTCTTGATAACAGGAAACTTTTAATACAATAAAGAAAGATTTCTCTGTTGTAGGTGAAATCAAGTATTTCCAAATGTAAGCCTTGCTTTTTTGTGGTTTTGCTTGATAAATTAGAAAAGGAGGAGGTAGGGTAGTATTGTGATCCTGATTTCAGGTAAAGCAATCAAATCAGTCTGAAGATATAACATAATTTTGTTTGTATACATATAAATCATAATACAATATATATTCAGAATATTATTAGTTTTCTGAGCAATGATGAGCAAAAGTATACCCTGGCTTATATACCTTTGGCATACTAAAGCATAAAGGCAAAACACAAAAAAGGCAGAAACAGTGAAAATTATATCTGATGTTGGAATATTTTAGAGAAACCCATCTATGTGACTGTAATATTATTTATTCCTGCTAGATCATAATCTTTCAGAGAAGTGAATAGAAACAGTTTGGTTTTCTGGGCCACAGCAGTTCATATATACAGGGGACATCTCATATGTTTGGCAGTGAATGTAGCTTGCAGGTATATAATAGTAGATACCTTTTACCATCACAATAGGTTAAAGATTAGGAACCTAAAATTGTTCTCTCTGTGGGTTTGTGTGAGTGTGTCTGATTGCTTCATTGGTTGGTTGATTGATTTAGAGAATTGTATGGCTGCCCTTCTTATATACATAACTCTGGACAGCTGGCAACAGTCATAAGAAGTGTAATAAAATCTCTATCAACAAAATGCAAAACAAATTTCAAATAATCATCACATTCTAGCTTCATGTTAGGAACTTCTAGCTTCTAGATAGGAACTTTCCAAAAGTCTTAATGAAACCTTAATCCATCGTACTGCACGTGATGTGACATTCTGGAAATGTTTTGCAGTACAGCCATCAGTATATTTCTGGAACATCTAAATAGGCTGGACCCTTTCTTCTGGGGCTGCTGGGTCTTTGGGTTTACTTAGGATGTTTTGAAGGGTTTTAGTTGGCTTGCTTGCTATGCTGATTCCATGTGGTTGTAGTGGTCTATTTGCAGTTTCTGAGATATTCTTGTTATATGGCAGTATAATTCTTTTTAGGGTTTGTGTTGGTTGTGCTGTATTGGGTTGAGTGGTCAAGGACTTTTTGATAAAGTTGTGTGTGTATCCATTTTGTGGGAATGTGTTATATACTGTAGATGCTCCATTTCCTTTTTATATTATATTATGACTTCCCATTTAGAAGGAACTTTTCTATCTCATGGCATCTGCTGATCAACCAATACTAATAGATAATCATGAGGGATTAAAAACAGTTCCTAAATATGTTAGCTTACTAAAGGTGCATTTAATACTAATTCTGACTACCATTGTATGTGGATTAGAGCAGTTTTATCTTTCTGCTCTTCCTCTTTGATTGCGTTTAACAGGCCACTCTGAGAAATTATAGACCTCAAGATCAGCTCTTCAAGCTTCTCCCAGAGCAAATGGCAAAAGCTTCCTGTGGCATCTCACAAACATGTTTGCTTCACCATTTCAATGAGAAGTTACCATATCTCAAGTTATCACACACACTGTGATTAAATCACCAGGTCAATCCTTCAGTGGCTCTCAAGATGCTTCTGAAGGAATTATCAGGGGGAAATCCCAGAACAGATATATATCTCCAATATATTGTTCCCTGCTGGGGGCCATTCTTCAAAACTGGTTCAAGTGTTCCCCAACCATTCCAAAGTCAATAAGAGAACTGCTGCCATTGGTTGGGTTCTTAGGGTTTTATATCTGTTGTTCATAGCACAAATATGTATATATAGTCATTGTAGCTTTTGTGCTAATATTTTTAAACTGTTGATTAGACAATGCCAAGTCCATTTGGCAGCTGATAAATTCTCTTTTAATTTCAATAAATTAAACTAGCTGCATCATTTCACATATGTGAGATATATGCCTTCATACTTCACACCAATATGCTAACTCACTGGTTCTATCAGCTCAACAGGACAACTGTCTTGGAAGAATTTGTATAAGACAAATGAAATTCAGTGCTGAGAGACTGAGAGAAAATATTGTGGTGGCCAAGGTCTTATGGTGGTTCTTTAAACTGCAAGTTAAGAAAGAATGAAAAATTAGGTACAGGATTAGAGTTGAGAGCAACTCTGTTCTTTCACACTTTGGCATCAAGACATTCAGACCTAGTTAAGCTTAAGACAAGAGTTCAGATCAAATACTGAAGCATGGCATATTCTTAAGACAGATACCAAGCAGTGGTATCACTGTCTATAGCATCCTGTTTGAATCACGGCAATACAGGATAGAGCAAATGAGCAGGAATGTTGGGTATTATTGCCGTATTATTGCTTCAAGGATTGGCCATGAAGGTACAACCTCTTAAATGCACTGGAGAGGAAGCCCTTAAAATTCCACAGGAATGGTACCAGGATGGAGAACTTCTCATTGGTGGATTGATGTCCCATGTCCATTACTTGTTCCCCGAATTTAGTTTCAACAGACATCCTTTTGAAGAATCAGTTGACCTCCCATTGTAAGAAATCACTCTCTTATCTGATTTTAATCTAATCTATCTCTGTTCTTTCCATCCATATAAAATAGGGAAGTTCTTTCAATGTACCATATATTTAAAGATATAAGGTGTCATGGACATATCCTTTACAATAGCTTGAAGTCCACCTGATCTACTTCAAAAAGATTATGGGGCATCTTGCAATCTTTGAAAGAGCATTTCAAAGTTGAACACAAAAGTTCACAAGAAGGGTAGAAATGTGGGCTCTTTTACTCGCAATCTTTTCTGAAGAAATAAGAAGGAATGAGGACATGGAAGGAAAAGTGAATTCATAACCATACGGCTATGTTCTTCAGCTTTACCTTCTTCATCAATAAGATCTGTAATATTTTCTCCCAAATTTATTCCACTCAGCTTAGATTCTTTCTACAGTAAATTAGAAAAAATCTCATTGAAAAATCAACCCATTCTGTTTCTTCCAACTGAGTAACCTGTCTTCTCTTCAGAGTCTGGGGACATACCTTCTGAGAATTAGTGATTAATGCCATCAATTATTTTCTTTAATTTCAAAGGACAAAATGTTTAGTTTTTTACAACACTTTTGATCTCATTGTGCACGAGGTCCTCATAGTTATAAGATGAATGTTTTGTAGTTAAGGATTGAATAACAGTTTAGTAAGGACTAAAACTTGCATGGAGAGTATAATATGACAATAAACTCTCCTTTCTAAGGACAGGAAAAATGAGAATTCTTTTGTAAACCTCTTCTACATGACAACTATTAAGCTATTTCAGGAATTTTATCATGTCAACCTTCTATAAAGTCTTTCATGGTTTCTCCAATTATTCCATGCATGACTTTATATTCAGTTATGCTGAAGACTTTCCTTTAATGATTTTTGGTATTGCAGTTAAAATACCTCTTTATACTTCATATAAAGATATGAATCTTGAATCTAAAGAGATAAATTGTTGGAATTCGGCAATATCTCTAATACACACAATGCAAGGACAGTCTAGGAAGGCAAAATCAGAACATGTTTACTGTTACTTTTTTTTCATTGGATATCTCTTCCTTAGTAGCATAATGCATAGCACAATTCTCTTTTGAAGCAAGTCACTTTATTTACAGTGTGATAACAAAGTTCTACCAACACATCTTGGCTTTAGTGTTTGCTGTGAAAGAGATCAACAAGGATCCTCACATCCTGCCCAACATCACTCTTGGATTCCACATCTATGACAGCTACTCTGATGCATTAATGACCTATCGTACTACTCTGGACCTGCTTTTTAAGTTGCATAAAATTGTCCCCAACTATATTTGTGGGACTTTAAATAAAATTATGGGAATCATCGGAGGGATGAGCCCTGAAACTTCCATACGCATGGCAGAAATTTTGCAGCTTTTCAAGATCCCACAGGTTAGACCCATAAATAAAAATCTCAAAATTACAACAATCACACAGATGGTCTGCTTTGGATTTCCCCTTCAAGAAGCAACTTGATGGTTATCAGTAAAGAGACATAAAGAAATTAGAATAAATAGAAGTAAAGAAATTAGGGTAAAGTGTGGACTTCGGTTAATCCATGTTTCTCTTTAGTATATCGTTGCTTTCAGTAAGATACAGAATTTTAGTGCATAGCTGTTTGAACCTCCAGGCTTATGCTAGCTGTCATTAACTGCCTTACTGATTTCAATTCATATATATTAAGCATAATGTACACAAACATCTGGGTTTTATAAAATGTGGGGGACAATACATGGAAGAAATATTGACCTGGGAAGAACTAAAAGATTTGATTCTTTAAATTCAAATAGAGGTAATCATTGACTTACAACCACAACTGAGCCCAAAATTTTTTAATTCTAAGTTAACTTTATTAAGTGAATTTTGCTCCATTTACGACCTTTCTTACGGCCACAATTCTTAAGGGAAACAGTGCATTTGTTAA